AATTCAGAACACATAATTCTCAAAATCTCTTTTCCCTGACTCTGTCCCTCTTCTTCCCATAACCTACTATGTCTGAAAGGGGTAGAGTGTCCACTTCCATATCATCTTTTTTCCTCCCTGGAGGCACTATGCCTCGACCTCATCCTTAATGCTGAATGACACCCACTGTACCCTACAGGAGAAACTAACATTAGAGCTTGCCAGAAGTAACTCTTTATGTAGAAACTACAGACAACTTGCAACTTTGGAAAATCAAAGTCAAACACACTTTATAGTGCTTAAAATTCCCCCAAATATTATCCTTTCACAAATTCAAGAAATTAGCATCTGCTGTATGTTCCATATACTACAAATACAAAGACCAGACTGCCTCCAGGAATAAGGAGATCATAAATACGTAACATTACAGTGTAATTCTCTGTGCTACACTTACCAAAACAGAAGAGAAAATACACACAATCCATTTGTCAATGATATGTCGGCCAAACTAGAAATGTGTACCACAGCAGAAGGACAATACAAATGACTTCAGGTCATAATTTCCCTGTCATTTAATCTATTTGTAACTTAACATACTTCATTTTTTTTTTCTACTCACAACATGAACAATCAGAAACTATGCCTTAATGAGAAGACCAAGAAAAGTCAGGAACCAGGTTCAAGTTCCTCCATTAACAAAAATATGCAGAACTAAAGCACTAATCAAAATAGCCTTAGCGCAAAAGAACACAGGTAGAACCTTATAAAAATCATTTCTGGAGACTAATGAAGTGTTATGGTTTATGTCTGTGTGTCCCTCCAAAGCCTCCTGCAGCCCTGGGGCAGGCTATTAGAGTTTGAATATGGGTGTGAGAGCTACACCCGCCCTGGGGTGGATAGTTTGCATATGTAAGGGAGAGGAGGAAGCTGTTTGGGGAGATTCCTCCCCCATTCCGCCCTGGTGTGTGTGCTTGCAGCTTAGCTGTCGCTGCTGTCCTGAGATGCAGCCCTCTGCCACGTGCCACTCTGCCTTATGATCTCCCAAGTAAGGATTAAAACTTCCACGAACTGTAAGCAAAATAAACCTTTCCTTCCTTAATTTTGGGCGTCAGGTATTTTGTCCCCGCAACGAGCAAAAAGTAACCAAGACATGAAGTAATGAAATATTTCTTGTTGGATGTAATAGCACACACTTGTAATCCCAGCACACAAGAGGTTGAGGCAGGACTGCTGCAAGTTCAAGGCCAGCCTGGACTATGTAGTGAGTTCAAGGCCTCCCTGAACTACACAGCAAGAAGGAAAAGAAAATTTTAAAAATTTGATTTTTTTTTCGCAGTGTTTGTGAAATTCTTGAGAAAAGACACTGTATCTTCAATTTTTGTAGCCCTTATTCCTAGTACATAACATGCCTGTAGTATATTGCAGTATTAATATCTGGCAGAATTATTCTTCCTGCTGTACCAGCTCTTCTGTCTTCTATTCAAATTAAGTAATGAAATAAAAATGTTATATACTTCATAACCCAACAGTTACATGGAGGGGGTCAAAATAGAATAAAGGAAAAAAAAATTTATTTTTTTTTTGAGACAAGGTTTGGCTACTTAGCATTTGATAGTGGTGGAAAACCTCATGAAATAATGTATCACTGTTTCCCTAAAAATGTTTTCAGGCTATAGTGATTCCCAAGTAGGTAAGCTACAACATTACCACTACTGAAGTGGGAGTATTTAACAAAGCACCTACTACAACAGAAGTAAACTACATATACATTCTGGCAACCCAAAATAAGCACAAATAAATATTCCATGTAAAGAATTAACAGACAAGTATTTGTTAGCCAGTATGAGGAATCCATCTGTTTGTTTTATTTAGATTCTTGGAATCTAATTATATCCTGTTTTGTGCATTTATATTTGTTGATTTCCCTGCTGGATGAGTATCTGTGAAGAGTACAGCCTGTCTTTTACCTTAGAGTTAAAAAAGCCAGATATTCACCTTTCCAATTTCCCTTGCAGCTGGGTTACAGACAGTGGCTTAAACCCAGCCAATCCAAGGCAACCACTGAGGACTCTGAATCAGAAGCTAATACCACAAAGAATGGTAGAGAGAACAACTCTCCAGAAACAATCATTTTCGCGGAAAGCAGCAGGAGCAGGATCAGTGTCCATAGTGCTAGTGGCACATGCTGCAGAATCCATGATTACCAAGCAACTCTCTAAACCCCAGACCCAACTACTCTTGCAGTGCTTTTCTGTCTTGGTTCCTGCCCATTTTCAGAGTCAAGTTTTCTCTAGGTCTTTAAACAATGCTGAAATCTTCACCATATTCTTTCCAGCAATTCTTGTTTGCTTAATCATCACAGTTCTTGCAAAAAAAGAATGGCAGAGAGCAATAATGAAATAGTACAGTAAGTCAAGAGGCCTTCCCACCCACAAAGGGTTTGTGTACATTGTTCTGGAAAACAGACAATTCAAGTATCACATGACTCAAGCTCAGATTTGATATCTCAGTTATTACAAGTAATTTGTCACTTTTTATTCATTCTAAAACTTTTCTGTTCCAGGTACTATATAATATGGTAATCTCATTTTACCCACAAGATGATCTACATCTTCTCCATCAACTGTTTCAGGACTTAAAAACCAGTAAATTCTACATTATACTACATTCAAACTCTGGATACACTTCAAAGAGGGCAACAGAATTAAGAGACATGCTTTCTCCAATTTGCCTGAATGAGAATCAAGATATATGCCTTTTTTTTTTTTTTTTTGGTTTTTCTCCGGTACCAGGAACCGAACTCACGACCTTGCGCTTGCGAGGCAGGCGCTTTGCCGTGGAGCTAAATCCCCAGCCCCCAAGATATATGCCTTAAACTGAGCATGTGACAAACATGTGTAATCCCAGCTACTCAGAGGCTGAGGCAGGAGTATCTCAAGTTCAAAGCCAGCCTGGACAATTTAGTGAGACCCCGTCTCAAAATAAAATTTTTAGAAAAATGGGCTGGGGTTGTAGCTTAGCACTAGAGACTTTGCTTAGCATGAACAAGGTCTTGGGTTCAATCCACCACACTGAAAGAAAAAGAAAACTTAAATGCTGGGACCTTCAGCAAAGAGTCAGGTCTGCCCTCCCCCAACCACTTCATATTAGAGATTGAACCGAAGGCCTGACATTTTGTTCAGGCTGGGCTTGACTCATGATCTGCCTGCCTCAGTTTCTGAGAGTGCTGGGATCACTGATGTGTCACACCACACCCAGCTAAAAGTCAAATCTTGAAAGGAATAAGCTGTATTAAACACAGTTCACATAAAATTTGAAGTATTCACTCAAAAGATTGGTGTGTGTGGGTGTGTGTCACCATTACCATTACCTCAGAAAGCAACAAGACAATTATTACTTGGAAACTAAAATGTATAAGAAATGAATTCATAAATCATAAACTAAGTAAAGGTGTACAGTAGTAACAGTAATGGTCAAACTACAGATTACACCTCACCTCCACTCACCCAATCCCAGACTAAGTGCTTTATAAGAGCAGTCACACACAAAATCATCACACCCAACTCAAAATAGAGCTCTAGTGACGTAGGCTTGTGACCTCCACACTTAGCAGGCCAACCCTAGAGGATTCCCAATTCGAGTCCCACCTAGGCCTAAAGACTGAGTGAGACCCTGCCTATCTCACAATAAAAATATAAAAAAAGGTTGGGGATGTAGCTCAGTGGGAAGACTCCAGCTGGAGATAAGGCCACAGCTTTTCCCCTGCACATCAAAAGGAGTTCAGTAATATTTAACTTCATACAATTTCTATGACTACATGTACATATTAAACATTCCATGAATTGATTTCACATAGCAATTTACATCGGTACTGTGCTTACAAGGCTTCCAAAATATTATCACATGAATTTGCAAAACCAGATAGCTAGTTAAGAGTTAGACTTGCACTGGGTGTGATGTTGGTGTGTAATCTCGGCAACTTTGTAGGCTGAGACAGGAGGAGCCCAAGTTTGAGGCTAGCCCAGGAAAAAACAAAAGTTAGATCTACCCGCACAACTACTAAATGGGAAAGTAGATTGTGAAATCTCAGTAACTAATTTTATGGTGCCACATTATCCGCACCTCTAGATCAGCCTTTCTGTTACAATGTAACTCTCTCTCTTTGATCTGCTCCTTTAAGATTCGGTACAGGGTTCCGCTCATCTTCACATCTCCGAAGCACACAAAACCTGGACCATAAAAGTACACAGTAAAGAGCGAAATTCTCTCACCTCCAGCAAACCTGGTCCCTTCCAAGAGGGGCATCAGCTCCGAGACTGATCTGTTCTCATCCCAGCTCCTTCCCCCCCACCCCCACCTTTGCAACTTTCGGTCTCCACAACTTTACTTCCACTGAAGCTTGGGGCACAGTACACACAAATGCGCTGCTCCCCAAGAAAATTACCCAAGGGCCAGTGTTTCCCCTCAAGTCCGTACCACTGGCTCCCCAGTTCAGACTGCAGCCTTACCCAGGGTGAGAAGACGCGGTCGCGAGTCCCGCTCCGCCCGGGGGCTTCCAGGCGGGGCCTGTTCGGCGCCCCCAGACCCGCAAACACGCGTGTCCGCGCAGAGCGGGACCCCGGCTCTCCACAGCCCGGCCGAGCTGCCCGCCAACGGCGCCTGCAGTCTGCGTCCCGCACCGCTCGGGACTCCCGTGCCCGAGGGCGCTCCGAACCTACCCGATCAGGCAGTGGTCGCAGACGACGCCACGACTCCCCTTGCAAACTGTGTACGCCAAAGGATCCGAGCGGAGGAGCAGCTCTCCGGGACGCAGCGCGGCCACCGCGCGTAGCCCGTTTCCCCTGTCCGCGGTCGTGAACTTTTCCACCTTCAGCGGCTCCATCCTCTCGCAAGTCCGGCACCTCAGAAGTCCACAGAGTCCCTCAGCTGGCTTCTCGCGGGCTGTCGGGGCCGCGCGCCTGCGCCTCCCGCGCATGCGTACACCCGAGGGGGCGGGGCGCGCGGTGGGGCCTCTGCGCATGCTCGGATGGAGGCTGGAAGAGTGGCGTGTGGCGCCAAGGGACGCAGCTCGTTTCAGCGTGAGTGGGGAGATTCGGACATCTACTCTTTCAGTAGTTTATGATGGTGATTTCAATGCATACGGAAAAGATGAAAAAATGAGTGCAGTGAACGGTTTACCTTTCATTTAGATCAAACAATTCTTAGGGTTCTGGCAATTCTGATCACTCACTCCCCGTCCGTGTTGGTATCTGTCTATACAATATTGTTAAACCTGTTCGAAGTGAATTGTGTTGTCGAACCGTATAAAGTGGTAGACATCGTGACATTTCACAACTATTACTTCACACCGTAACATTTCATAGTTAAATATTTTGATGTGTTCACAGAATAAAAACACTATCCCAGCCGGGCGAGGTGGCGCACGCCTGTAATCCCAGCACTTGTAAGACTGAGGCTGGAGGATTACCAAAAATTCGAGGCCAACTTGGGCTACATAGTGAGTTCAGCGCCAGCCTGAACTACATAGTAAGATCCTGTCTCAAAAAAAATTTAATTAATTTTTTAAAAACAAAAAATTAAAAAAATACTATCCTGTGAGACTACGATATCCTTACACCTGAGAACATTGTATGTACTAGCAAAAAAAAAGATTTGAAGTGTTGTAAGTGTTGGGGTTTTGTTGTTGGCTAGAATCCAGTGAAAGACCATGGTTCGTCACATTATCACCACAACACTGAGCTTTTTCAGAATCTAAACCAGAAGTCTTGTGAAAATGTTCCACCTTTAGTATTTACTTTCCTACCCCCGTGGTCTCCTTTAACTTCTTCCTCTATTTCCTACATTTCCCATAAACTGTAGGCTAAGTTTAAGTGCCAGAATCTTTTGTTTTGCTTTGTTTGGTTTTCGTTTTGTTATGATACTGGAGACTGAAACCAGGGCCTCTGCACTGAGCTACACCTGTAACCCTTTTTAATTTTTTACTTAGAGACAGAGTCTTGCTAAGTCACAAAGTTCCCATGGCTGGGATCAAACTCAGGATCTTCCTGCCTCAGACTTTCAGAGTGCTGGTATTACAGTTATATACCACCACTTCTGGCTCAGAATCTAGAGTTTTGATTTAAATGAAACATTCTGTAGATAAAAAATACTAGAAATGATATTATTTGTTTCATAATGTATGTCATGTCAGAAGGTACATACTGTCAGGCTATTCTGCTAGTAATCAACCAGGCATGTTGACACACAACTGTAATCACTGCACTAGGAGACTGAGGCAGGAGGACCACCATGAACTCAAGGCTAGCATCTGCTACATTGTGAGTTGGATGCCATCCTGAACTACGTAGGGAGATCCTGGCTCAACAAACCAAAAATAAAAAAAAAATAATAACAAAGTTGATCAATTATTTAAAGTGATAACTGCTAGAGATCTTCATTGTAAAGGGACATTTTACCTTTAGAATTAATAAGTATAATGTAATATTATAGGGGCTATTTTAAATGTAATGAAAATTTTAATCCTATATTTCTAATGCTTTTCAAGGATGAGACTGGGAAATGCAGCTGATTCTCATAATTAGAGAGCTACAAAATTTTATGAGCCATGGTGATTCCAGAGCCAGGTGCAAGGTAAGTGCAACTTAGCTAGTCAGTGATGTTTTTCTTACTTTTAAGTCCCAGAGAGTTATCACCTCAAGGACACCTCTGCCTACTCTCAGACAATGATTGATTCTTTCTCCCATGTTATATAATAGTAACTTTATTAGTTCCTGTAAGAGTAAATTCTGCCCAGCAATTAATGGCAAAGACATGTATAACCAAATATATACTGTAATATTATCTGCTTTTTATACTTGCTTCTGAAAAACCTATGCAGGCAATTAGTACCTTCAGAACAGGGCTGGTGACTTGGATATTGGTGTCCCTCCGTCTGCTAGCGTAATAAAGCTGTCTGCCTTCCAAAGTGCCTCTGGTGCCGTGTCTTCATCTGGTCTGGTCCTGAACCCCTCAACAATATTAGTACAGTACTCATAAATTAATATTAGTAAGTAAAACTGTGTGCGATACTCTGACACTATGAGAACAGGCTGATTCCCACAACCTGGAGAGGCAGACTTTACTGGAGAATTCCAAAACCAGCATTAGTGTGGGAAAAAGAAAAAAAGAACAGTGGGCCAGGATTCCAAAGACATGGATTTGAGTCCCAGTTCTGCTGTATGACCTAACTTCTCCAAGCCTGCTTACAATGAAGATAATAATATCTTACAGAGTGATGAGAATAAGTTTGATGAAAGTATTCTTTAAAAATCCCTAAAGCATCATATCAATGTATGGAATCATTATTCCAAGTTAAGACTTTTAAGTCTATAAATATACGATAATACCTACATATTGCATGCTACCAGTGCTGTCAGTATATTTATCTCATACTACTGTTTAGCATTAAACATGATACCCAGAAGGAATTACAAGGATTGTTCATTGAACTAAATAGCATGACATAAGGACTTCTAGAGAACTAGGGACTAATTCTACCATAAAACATTCTCAATTACTGAAGACCATGAAAAAAAAAGTTCTCAGGAAAAATGTTAGATGGAAGGATCTGTAGTCTTGCTAATCCCACAATGTGATTCCGGACATGACTCATTTCCCCTAATATTTCTTACTCCCTCTTCACTCAACCCTAAAACCAGTCATTTATTTTAAGGAGAACTGAAAATGCTAGAATGCGTTCATAGTGTATAGAGCATATACTACATCACTACATCATACATAAATCATACATAGTAAGTTAATCCTGGGTAGGATCCTGAAGTGTGAGAAAATATTTGATATTCTAATGAAAAAACTTATCCGTTTGCTTCTCAGATCAATCTAAAATGAAGTTTAAAAATACACAAAAATCAATGTTTCTTGCCCTGCCTTTTTCAGCATTTTCACATCCTTGCTTTGTGTGTGTGTGGTACTGGCAGTGGAACTCAGGCCTCATAAAGGGCATCCACAGTACACAGCTGTTCTGGCTTATGTCTAGAGGTCCCTCTAAAGCCTCATGCGGTCATAGGTGGGGTTTTTCAGAGGCGGCTGGGTCTAGAGTGTGTGACAGTGGAACTGATTCATGTGTAGTGCTAGGATCGAGGGCACTAGGATTAAGGATGGGAGTGCTACCCTCCCAAGGGCAGCTAGTCTGGATAATATACAAGGGACAGAAAGAGGCTTGTCACATGTTGCTTGCTCGCTTTGCTATCTTATGCCCTCTGTGAATGTTTCTCTTCTGCAGTGCCTCTTTGTGGGGCCACCCTGCCTTGGAGCCAGCCAATTATGGACTGAAACCTCTACAAACTGTGAACCAAATATACCTTTCCCCCTTCAACTTTGAGTGTCAGGTACTTTGTCTCAGCAACAAGAAAAGGTAACTAAGTAACTAAGACATCTTTGCATTTAAGGAGCACAAGAAAAACAAAAATAGAACTGGGCATGATAGTGTTGTACCTGTAATCCCAGCACTTGGGAGGCTGAGGCAGGAGGATTACTGGGAGTTTGAGGCCAGCCTGGGCTACATAGGGAGTTTAAGGCCAGTTTGAGCTACATAGTGAGACCTTGTCTCAAAAAACAAACAAAAAACTGCTCATAAAATGATAAGCTTCAATTTCCTATAAACCCTAATTTTTAAGTTTTACAAAGTTTTACTAGCAAGAGATAAATTTAAAAATGGGAAGAAATTGTTCAAGGAAAGAGAAACTGGTATGGGGAAAGGAGAAAAAAAAGGGAAAAGGAAAAATATATATATATATATATATATATATATTAGTTAAGATAGACTCCTAATTTCTCTTAGTTCATTGAAAAGAAAGGTTTGTGCTAACATTGTTTGGACAATTTTTCATGTCTATATCTTACACTCTAAGTAACTACTTTGAAGATAATAATAAGCAATTATTAACCATTGTTACTCTCCTATTGTTAATTTTTTTCTCTTTAAAATAAAATTTAAAAGAGATAAATTACAATAGTAGTTCTAAATATTTAATATGGAATTACTCAGCAGTTTTAGTCATAAAATGATTAACTATTTAGCCAAGAATTACTGGGTTATTTTTAAAAGTCTTTCACATATCTCACCAGGAAACTAAATTTATTCTTCAAGCATTTAGTGGTTTTTATTTTGTTTTGTTTTGTTTTTTGTCTTTTTGAGACAGGGTCTTGCTATGCAGTTCGGGCTGGCCTTGAGCTCACTTTGTAGCCCAGACTGGTCTCAAACTCACGACAATCCTCCTGCCTCAGCCTCCCAAGTGCTGGGATTACAGGCGTGCGCCACCACACCCAGCCCTCTTCAAGCATTTGAATGGTGCAAAAATCTCAGTGTATATGAAATCTAAATCTCTTCCTGCTCTATTAAACTTCAGGGCTTTGGCTTGGAGACTATGAACTAGTCATCAAGTTAGGAGTATGCTGATCTTACTAGCTACATCAGATAGTTACTGGAGTAATATAAAAATGGGGTCCTGTTATTACTGAAATAGTATTTCTATCAGGACTCTTAATGGGAAGTATTAGAATTCCATCCCAGAGTAGTTTAACACATTCTCACTGGCTTGAATCACTGGTGGAACATGCATGACTGCTCCAAGTGGCAGTTTGAGCCAGCAGTAGTACATGCATGACTGTAACACTGGGAAGCATTGAACAGTCCCATCAGAGGGACAAGCCACCCTATGGACAGTCGTACAAGTGTGACCTCACTGTGAACATATTAATACAAATATTTACCCCTTGTTTTCTTGTAGCTTCACTTACAGTGTTAATTCTGAGACTTCAATCTCAGAATTGAAGTGCTTCCACCTCACCAAGCACAATTGTTCTTTGGAACAATTCACTTGATTCTTATTACCTAAGCTCACCATGTGCCCTCATAGGATGACAAAAAATGTCAAGCCAACTGAAACTTCGGCACTGAGACTTAGCTATCAGATAGGGAGGTGCAAGGGTTGGTTGCTTCCTGGGGCTGACTTTGACCCTTGTTTTGTAGGAAGGGGTGGTCACTGCCAAGCAGTCATTTGTTGTGGGAGAATGGAGGAATGTCTGGTGGGTTCCTCTCAAGAGAGTTGCTTGTCGAGGCAAACCAATTCAGATTTTATAAGAATGGAAGGCAGGTGTTCTGGGGATCTGTGTGTCACTGGCATTGGAAAGCCCACTTCACTGACTAGGGCCAATCTGGTCTTTACTTATCCAGGGACTGGCATATGCCCTGCAGGGGTTACACATACACAGAGCTGGCTAGTCAAAGGACCCATGCTTGTGTTGGTTGGAAATGGTGGAGCCCTTCACAGGGTCTTTTCTTTTGGGGCTGGTAAGACGCCTAGGCTTGATTCTTGGCGTTTGCATCCTCATTAAATTTTCAGGGATGGAGGCGGTCTCTTTAATGATTGGGTCTCCATAGTCCTCCTCCACCCGACCCCACCCCAAAAAATGCATTCATGCTTTCAGTGATAATAGGACCCTGCAGCACACATGCCATAGGCTCACCACCACTGACCTAACCCAAAGATAATTCTGTTAGGTTAACCCTGTTAACCCTAAACTAACAGTAAAAGTGTTCCTCTGGTCTTTTGACCCCTTTTTCCCAACACCATCACTTAATTCCTCTGAAGTAGCTGTCATCTTGCTTAGATGACTCCATTCTGATAAACCAGTAACTTGGTAGAGGGTGGGACTAGGGATTGAACCCAAGAAGTTCTAAGCTGTATTCCCAGCTCTTTCAAGTTGCAACAGGGTCTCACTAAGTTGCCCAGACTGACAGTGTAGCAGGAATTACAGGAGTGCTCCATGAGCAGCTAACCTAGGAAAATTCTTACCTGTTTCATCTTAACAAATTAAGCAAAGAGGAATCCACCTCCCACCTTGCACTCTCCTTCTCCCTGCACAAAGAAGCCCCATAGACCCAGCATCAGAATTCTGCCTCTATGAAACTGACTGACCTCATGACAGTTAACAGACTGGAAAGTTTTGCTTCCCTTATAAGCTTTCTTGGGGTAGTTTATTGGTATCATGAATAACCATTTACACATTATGCTTCACTGTATCTTTTGCGGGGAGTACCAGGAATGTGCTTGCCAGGCAGGCGCTTGTTACTGAGCTATATTCCCAGCTCTGATTTTATCTTTTCGTGAGTGGTCAGTTGTTAACTTTTCCTATTTACAGTGTTAGGGATTCAGCCTAGGGCCTTGCACTCATTAGGCAAGCAGTCTATCGCAGCTTTTTTATTTTTTTAGGGTCTCATTATTATTATTTTGCAGTGCTGCAGATCAAACTCAGGGCCTTGTGTATGCTAGGTCGGCACTCTATCACCCAGATACCATCAGATCCCAATTTGTTTTGAAAATTTAAATTCTACTTTGTTATTTGTAAAATGAAGACTGCACAGATGGCCTCTGGCTACGAATATGGAAAGAAGAAGAGAAGCAAACACTATCTCAATGTTTGTAGCTCCTCAGCTTTTTTCCCAAATCCTTCATTTACTCCTCCTGACAAGTAACATGATGAGCTTGAGGCCATTATTACCCACTTGAAAACAAAGGCGTCCTGAACCTTGGCACTGATTTTGACGAGGTCTATGGTAAAACATGCTGGGGTCAATTAAACATTCTTTTAAATATCAGGAGAGAAAAGAAAAACATCATAAAATATTACCTAAAATATTTTAATTTTTAAAAAGTTATTAAAATTTAAATAATTTCATTGTACAGTAACATAATACATTTCCGCAAACAGAAAAGGTAAAAAAACCACTAAGTAAATTTAATTTACTCTCTAAATTTAATACTATACAAACTCTTCCTCCCCTAGGAATGCAAAATTCAGCAAGGGTGAAAGGGGAATATTTAAATTAAATACAATGTAAGCCCTTTGGCCAGAGTTTTTAAAAGTAAACCAAATTTCAATTGGTATACCTGAAATGGTCATTATGTTTTTAGTAGACAGTATTAAAAAAAATTCTTAGTGCCTTGTGACTGCACAGCCTTGTGCATACAAACTAAGCACAAATTTTACAACTGAGCTACACCCCCACAACACTACACAGAAATTAAAAAAAAAAAATTCCATCTGATCAATCCACAATTAACTGACATTTGCCTTTTATTCAGTGGTGAATAAAACAGCAGTCACTGTTGTAGCCAATGTGTCAATAATACCAACTTCAGAAATGAGTTTCATAGTCTGCTGCACAAGAAGTTATCTTCTATTGAAAGGATGGATGTCTGCTTTCCAATGCAGTTTTTTTCATTTGTGTCATGTTTTCCAAATAAACTGTTCAGCTAATGTTTTGATGGTCTCTTGCCTTAACACTGTAAATCTTCTATGACTCTATCATACAGCCATTTATTGTCATCGTCGCTGGAACGTTCTATAGTTTCAAAAAGGTTCTTAAAGTCCTGAGGGTAGATATCAGATGGTTTCACTTTAGTTTCAATATTTGCTTCATTCATTATAGTCAATGGATCATATGGAGTCAATGAACTGCAAAAGAAATACAAGGTAAATGTGCTTAATTCTTTTTCATAGCAACTATCAATTAATATTGAAAGGAATAGCTTCTAAGTCCAATTTAAAATGACTAATTCATATACAGTTGAGCTTATTTCAGAGTTAAACTATAATAAATACATTGAGTTTTTTATTCTTAAAGATCCATAGCTAACTTTCAGTGAAAGTAATGGATTTAGGCTGTAAGAAATTCTAATCGATCTTACCAATTTAAATCGGTTTATTTATTTCTTTAGTTTTTTGCGGGGGGGCGTTGAGACAAGGTCTTGCTGTGCAGTTCAGGCTGGCCTTGAGCTCACTTTGTAGCCCAGGCTGGCCTCAAACTCATGGCGACCTTCCTGCCTCAGTCTCCCAAGTGCTGGGATTACAGGTGTGCGCCACCATGGCAGTGTATTTAGTTTTTTGAGACAGAGTCTTGCTTGTATGTTAGGCTGGCCTCAAACACATGACAATCCTCTTGACTCAGCCTCTGAGGCAAAGCACTTACCTAGTATAAAAAGGCCACAGGTTTGTTCCTCAGGGTTGCCAAAAAAAACCCTGTATCTGCCAACTTTTTTCATTTTGCTCCCTGTAATTTGTGTGTGAGGGTGGAGTGGTACAGAAATCAGGGCTTCATGAATGGTAAGCATATGCTCTACTGCTGAACCACACCCTTAGCCCCACAAAAAGATTCTTAACTCCACCACGGTTCACGTAAAAGTTCAGTAAGTGCCAAAAGAAGCTGGCTATTTGGCAGGTCTTTCTTTTTTGGTATAGAGCACTGAACCCAGCACTTACACATGCTAGGCTAGTCTACTACCCCAAGCCACTCTTCAGCCCTCTATTTTTATTTGAGACAGGGTCTTGCTAAATTACTCATGCTGGCCTTCAAGTTGCAATTGTCTTTCCTTCTGAGTAGCTGGGATTACAGGTGTGTGCCATAGCACTCAGCTTGTCTGTGAGTTTTTTTGTTTTTTTGTTTTTTTTTTTTGTCTTTTTGAGACAGGGTCTTGCTATGCAGTTCAGGCTGGCCTTGAGCTCACTTTGTAGCCCAGGCTGGTCTCAAACTCACAATGATCCTCCTGCCTCAGCCTCCCGAGTGCTGGGATTACAGGCATGCGCCACCATGCCCAGCTTGTCTGGGAGTTTTTAAGGCAATAATTTTTCACTTTTTTATGCTGCAATCACTGGTGATTGAATTAGGAAACAAAACATATATTAGCAAAAAACTGTCAATAAACTTCTGACAATAAGTTCTTAGTGCAACAGTTTGTGAGAAAATATTGCCAATATTTTTAGATACAGAATAGAATCTTGGTCACGATTAGAGAATTCCAAGGGAATGTTTAACATTCTGTACCACAGTTTACCATATTTATTCCTTACTTTCTTGACATGTACATTCAAAATGGCCACCTCCACAAAGTAGCAAAATGAAAATAGGTTACTTTTATTGGTCTATTGACAATTTTAACATTGATTTTTATAAAAATATTGTCAACATTTTAGTTATTAAATGATCAAATTAATTCTTTACTCTGAATAACTATAGGCTGTCAATTGTATATAACTTTACATATCACCCCTATATAAAGATTATATATCGTAGCTAATAACAGCTACAAGATTTTATTTGTTTGTTGAAACAGGGTCTTGCTATGTAGTTCAGACTGGCCTTGAACTATGTAGCCCAGGCTGGCCTTCAATGTGGTGATCTGCCTGCCTCAGTCTCCCGAGTGCTGGGATTACAGGCATGCGCCACCATGCCTGGCACAGCTACGATTTTTGTAAGTTTTACATGGAAAGATAAAAATTTATCCAGGGCAAAAAAAACAGGATTGTATGAAGATCCATGCCTACTTTGGTTAGGAAACAGTACCACTGAATACAGACAGTAACAAGAGGCAGATGGCAAATATGTCACAGTAATTGTGACTTTTCCCTAAACTAGCTAAAGGCAAGCAGATAGTTGTTCCTGTAGCTTAAACTTGGATAAAGATAAATGAACTTGTGGGAATCCCTGGTTGCTTTTTCAAAGAAGGAAACTAAGTGAAGGGGCTGGGGATTTAGCTTAGCGGCAAAAGCGCCTGCCTGGCATGCGCAAGGTCGTGAGTTCGGTTCCCGGTACCAGAGAAAAACCAAAAAAAAAAGAAACTAAGTGAAGCTCAGTGAGAGTGTAGGTAGAAAATATCATTTGCTCAAAGTGTACTCTAGGGAGAAGAAATATTAAATATATTAGTGAAATATGGGTGTATTATACTTAGTCAAGAAAACTAGACATCATAAAAGACTGGCATATTAAATTGCTACTTTTATATTTCCTTTTATTCTTTACTTACTGTAAATGTTGTATTACCAAGGCACGGCGCCTCCCAAAACACTGCTTCACCATGTGAAAAAATATATCATAGTTAATAGGAGTTAAGTATTCTGTAAATAAATTTTTACGAGGCGTCATTTGAATGAAACACACATTTCGATGTTTTAATGAAGCCTGGAAAAAAGGGAAAATACTATTAGTCATAAGATATTGCCAAAGCAAAATATTATTTACTGATTCCTTCAGCTATAAAGTTTCAAAGATGCCACTGCCACAGTCCGAGTGCATTTTCTTGGTGAGTATGTCAGGAACACAAGCTCTACCTCTGCCTTACCTGGGTCACCTCTCAAAGTTGTTTGTGGGGAGCATCCTTGTGAGATGAGATAATGACCCTCTGCAAGATGGAAGAGCGCACTTTCTCACTGTTTCTTATTGACTCCTCCAGCAGTGTTTCTCAGCTGCAAGGCAAACCTACTGCCTACGCGTGGCACCCACCTGAGCCATTCACATCACTCCCTGCGCTGGCAGTGCAAACAATGCCCACTGTCTGACCTAGAAGTTAATGTCTTTGGCCAGCATCAATAAACAACAGAGTGAAATCAAACCCCAAATATAACATTAACATGTTCTGAGTCCCTGCTACATTCAAGGTATGTCACCACCATCAGATCTAAGGCTAAGAAAATATTATTGGTTTATAGGTTTTATCTTTTTTTTTTCTTTTTTTCTTGGTACCAGGAATCAAATTCAGGATCTTGTGCTTGCCAGAAAGGCACCTGTGCCACTGAGTTATATCCCCGGGCTCTTTTCTTTCTTATGAGACAGGATCTGACTATATTGCCCAGGGTGGCCTCAAACACCTGTGTACAAGACATCGTTCCTCAGCCTCCTGAGAACCTGGGAGTACAGGTGTGCACCATGATGACTAATGGACTTCTGAGTCTCAAAAAAGAAAACAAAAAACTGGAGCATCTCATTTCGATGGAAATGAAGATATATTCTAGAACATCTCTTGGTTATCTCAAGCTGCTTCTTACAGTAGTTCTAAAAATCATGTTGTCCAAGATATATATGAAATGTATAAATAAAATTCTCCCATGAAATATGACATTTGGTTATATCATCTTTATTCCTAAAAGTTTATATATTTAAGTTGGCCAAAAATCAAGCAAGCAAGCAAGCAAGCAAGCAAGCAAGCTTTTGGGGTTATTAAGAAGAAGAAAGTGTGTTACATGTTTGTTCATTCTTGGGACAAATCCCTAATGGTATCCAAGCCGAAGTGTATTATTCTGACTAAAATTTTTGAGACTACACATTATGCTTTAGAAATAGAGAAAAAGAACTAATCATCATGGTAACTGATCATTTTAAAATCAGATCATTTCTAAACTGGTGATTTTCTTTTTCTTATAGAGGCAAAGCAAATGGAATCCTCAGACTGAGCAGATATGCAAGGATATTATATATTTCCTTTTATTCTTTATTCTCACCATTAAGGCAGCAGTATGAAATAGTACTTCTGGACTAAGTCCACAAATTGTTTTGAAACTTTGGCAAATATATTAGAATTTCATAAGTAGTTTATCTCTAAATAGAGACAATCATGTTAGTTCTTTAGACAGGGAAAAAAATCAAATAAAAATGAAAGCTGTAATTCCTAGGCAAGAACCAGTATGTACCTACTGGTGATTTCAATGCTATAAAGAATTATTAACATCACAAATTTGATCAAGAATACAAAGTTTTGTTTTTAATTTATCAAGTTAGATGAACATCAAATGCAAATATTGGAAGTGCAGTTTAGAGATAAGCTTCATTTTCATGCTTTAGTATATCCCGACAATATACTTTAAGAGGAAGCTAACTTGTTTATTTATTTATTGGCAAGGACTTGCTATGCAGTTCAGGCTAGCTTTGAATTCACTTTGTAGCCCAGGCTGTTCTCAAACTCGTGGCGATCCTCCTGCCTCAGCCTCTCAAGTGCTGGGATTACAGGTGTGTGCCACCATGCCTGACCAGGCCATATTTTTGTTTTAAAAGAGATAAACAGCACTCAGGAGGCTATGGCAGGAGAATCACCAAGAGTGTGAGGCCGGCCTGGGCTACACAGTGAGTTTAAGGGCAGTCTGCAAGATGCAGAAAGACCCTGTCAAGAAAGAAACAAAGAAACAAAGAAAGGAAAGAAAGAAAGAAATTAAGAAAGAAAGAAAAAAGAAAAAAGAAAGAAAGAAATTAAGAAAGAAAAAAGAAAGAAAGAAAGAAAGAAAGAAAGAAAGAAAGAAAGAAAGAAAGAAAGAAAGAAAGAAAGAAAGAAAAAGAAAGAACTAAAGAGGTGGGGGGAGGGAGGGAGGGAGCAAGGGAAGAAGGGAGGAAGGGAAGAAGGAAGGAGAGAAAAAGAGAGAAAGAGAGAAAGAAAGAAATTAAGAAAGAAAGAAAGAAACAAAAAAGAAAGAAAAGTTAGAGTCCTACTTAAGGCTATTACTAGCATCTACTATAGAATAGCTGATAAATATAACTGTTTCAAAATAATTTCAGTTTATTAAAAGTAGCAAGCTCTGTTTAAAGGACACCTGTGGTTGTTGTAAAATTTTTCTAAAAAACAGAATACCAGATAATACTAAAGGAAAAAAAAAGTTCCACTAAAGGAGAAAAAAGGGAAGGGCATTCATTTGTTTTTACCTTATGAACTAGTAGTGCGTTCTTGGTATATATGTCAAATAATGAAAAAAGATACCCTGCAAGCCAAAAACCAAAACAACATTTCTTTTAGTTCTCCCTGGTCAAAGTGCCTACATTACTACTGACCTAAAAAATCATGTTTAGCCAGGTGCAGTGGGGCATGCCTGTACTTGGGAGGCTGAGGCAGGAGAACTGCCAAGAGTTCAAGGCCATCCTGGGCTCCACAATGATTTCAAGGCCGGCCTGTACTATGAAGCCAACAAACAAAAAATCACAAACAAACAAACTGAAATCTAGATGTTTTGGTGCACACCTGTAATCCCAGTACTCTGGGCAGCTGAGGAAGGAAGGACACAAGTATAACAAGTCTGAGTTCAGTCTAAACAACACTCAGTGGGACGCTGTCTCAAAAAAATTCTTTTAAATGGTTGGGGATATAGTGCAATCCCCAGTACTACAATAACAAAATGAAAAACCCCCATTTGATACACGCTTTGGTCAAAAGTTAGAAAATGGGATAATTATGGCAAGAAAGACATTAATACTCATCTTTCTTATGCTCTAGCATTCTGCTATAACATATGGTACTTGCAGCCAGATGTGGCCATGGAATATGGGAAATCTGTACATAATTGAGATGTGCTGTAATTGTATAAAATATACTAGATTTCAAAGATTTGACAGGAGCACAAAAACGTAAATTTAAAAATACTGATTAAACACTGAAACAACAATGTACTGATTTTTTTTTTTGAGACAGGGGTCTCACTATGCAGTCCCGGCTGGCCTTGAACATATATGTAACCCAGGCTGGCCTCAACAATTGACATGGGAGTGAATAAAACACGAATCTCTTCTGTTTATTTTTTACCTTTTGTAATGTGACTACTAAAAAATGTAGTTACACATGTGATTCCCCTTATATGTCTATTACACAATGCTTGGTCTTCTCTAAGGAAATTAACTAAGAAGGGGAAAGTTTTATAATGAACTATTAAGAAAAAGTCAGGGGTAGTGACACATGCCTGTAATCTCAGCACTCGAGGCTGAGGCAGGAGGATCACAATTTTCAGCCCAGTGTGGCAAACTTAGCGACTAAGTGAGAACTTATCTCCAAAGAAATGGGGAACTAGGGATGTATACATACACCCAGTGCTAAGGTTCAATCCCCAGTTCAAAAACAAACAACCCCTGAACTTTCAAAAAGTGTTCAGTGTCAAGAGAAAAAGCTTATAACTATTAGCTATTAAGTGAAAACAATGAGCTACAAAACAATACAATCTTTACTATATAAAGAAAAAGACCACCACTAAATATATGTTATATATGTCAATTATGACTTCTGGGTTATAGCACTGCAGTGATGACTTTTTAAAAATTTCCTTTTTGTTGAGAAGGAGGTAATATTGAGGATGGAACGCAGGGCTTTCACAGTGAGCTACATCCTCACCCCTTTTATTTTTAGAGACAGGATCTAAGTCACTAAGTTGCCCAGGTTGGGCTTGAATTTATGATACTCTTGCCTCAGCTAGGCTACATAGTGAGTTCAAGGACAGCCAGAACTACATCGCATCCTGTCTCAAAAAAAAAAAAAAAAAGTGTGCTAGTCAGGTGCAGTGGTGCATGCTTATAATACCACCTGAGAAGCCGAGGCAGGAGGATTGCTGCAAGTTGAAGACCAGCTTGAAATGCACTGCCAGACCTTGTCCAACACTTCCCACCCCCCGGCGAGTTCCTACTTTCAGTTTTTATGATGAAACAAATACTTACCACAAAAACTTAATGCCACAAAATTAACTTGCACTATTAACCTTGAGCAGTTGGAAAAATAATCTTTTAAGTTAATCTTTAGTATGTAATCTCTGCTTACTAGCCTCTCTGAAATATAATACAATTCTCACTTGAAATGCAGAAGGATTTTACTCACCTTGTGGAGAAGCTTTATCTCACAAGATACTTGCCAAAGCACACTTAATACATGATATAAGTATGGATTTGTGGGATTTGCGATTAGTTTCTAGTCAAAGGAAAATAGAAAGTGTTTTATATGTATATATATATAAAACTATCACCAATCAAAATCAAATGTTGACTGTTAGTAACACCTAGAAATTTAAATTAAAAATAAGAATTAATCTTAACCATAACTAAATTCAGTCTTTCCACTTTCCTTTTGGAAACCTCATCAAGTACCCATAAAATTCAATGTATTTCAGAATGACTTCATTTAATCACATAACCTGTCAGATAAAATATCATTAAAGAAAAGCTGAAATAACAATAACAGCTAATCATTTACCTATGAACATAAGCAAATAAATAATTCCTACCCTATGGCTCA